ATAAATATACCATATAAGATCATATTTATAAAAGATTTGTAAAACTAAGCTGATTGTGCCTTGCTTCAGGCTGACACATAGAATCATGGCTAGCTGTAAAGCAAGGCTTCTAATGCTGGGGAAACTGAGGTTTCTCTAAATCCAACTGAGAGAAGAATATTGAACCTTTTGATGGAAAAAATATTGTTTTGGAAATACTATAATCACGTCAGCTTCACTTACAGGCTTGAGTAGGCGTTCTTAGGATTGGTGGTTCACAGGCAACTTGCCTTGCACTTTTAAGTCCTGATTTCAGGTCAAAGATCCTCAGATCATTGGCAGCTCCACAAAAGCTTCCAGGCTCACACCTGTAAAGCCACGAGCCAAAGCTACCAAAAATTAAGAGTCCTGTTTCCAAGGTACAGTCTAGAGCTTTAGCTTTCAAGTCCTATGCTTCCAAGTTCACTGCAGCTGCCCCTTGGAGCTAGGGACCTAAGTGTTCTGAGGAGATCCTTTAGCAAACAGACCTGTTCATTATTTGTGACTGTGGAGGACCCACTAAATAGACTACTGTCAAACCCTTTATTTCCAGTGTCCTTAGCTGGACTAGTACACCTAGGAAAGAAGGAGATGATAATATATGTATGTATGTATGTATATCTATGTGTACACATGTATGTGTCTATGTATTTAGGCTTAATTTAGACTTAAATCTGGCATTTTTTAAAGAAATGTCCTGGTAAGTTCTATGTGATAAAAGGCTTATCTATTCCTGTTAATATTACTTCATTTTAGTATAATGAAACTCATTAAGCCTTTTATGTTTTGTATATTCACTATCTTTAAATGCAAAATTCTGTAATATGGTCATGATCTATGCCACATCTGTTGCCAAGTATTAGTAACAGAATATTGCAATCATTTGTGTCATTTTCAAGAGAAATATAAGAAAATGGGCACAATCCAGATATATACAGAAATAGAGAGAAACAAGAAAAGAGAGAGGGAGACCCAAATACTATTACTGAGTTGAACCTTTTACTTCCAAATGATGCATTGATAATCACATAGTAGTTGACAGAAGGCATGGACATCTCTGCAGTAGTCATGCCAAAGAAAAGAGGTTTGAGTCAAAGGAAGATGCATTTACATTTATTTTAAATTTATAAAAAGTTTTCCATTTATAATTACTAATTTTATACCACTACATGTAAGTGATTATAAAGGCTGGACAGCCCTGCACCACGCTGCCTTCGGAGGATACACTCGCACAATGCAGATCATTTTGGATACTAATGTGAAGTGCACTGACAGAGTGGATGAAGAAGGGGTACGTGTTCACATGGCATTATTTGTTTCTTGTCTGCTATTACTTCTGGACCAAATGTCAGTGGTATGCTATTAGTAGTTTTCCACTGTGCATTTCATGTTTAATATTTCATTTCCTCTGGCAGATTTAAAGTCTTTATATTTCACGACTGTTAAAGTTTATTGCTTAGATTAATACGTGATTGCTGAAATTGTTATCCAATTCTTATAAGTGGGAGACAAAAAAAATGCAAATAGCCTAATAGAAAAACATAAAATATTGAGTATCCCTCTTGTCTCCGTTACAATGCAAGAGTATTTAACAATGTAGTACAAACATTGGTAATTTAAATTTGAAGAGCTTATACAGATTAAAAAAAAATCCAATATCAACTATAGCTCATTAATATATTGTTTGAAATCAATGTGTTCTGCACAGCAACGTCCAACAGCTCCTATCTTGCTCTGAAGTTTGGACAAATGCAGTATCAGTTGGGTCAAGACAGAATCCATTTCCTGGATTGGAGACCTCTTGTATGAACCTGACTAACAGTTCCCCATCAGAAAACATAGGGTGGTCATTTTAAAGAACTATTCAGTTTCCAGCACGGAAGATGTTGCTAATTTCTCTGAGAACTGGTGTTGAAAACATTTAGAATTATTAGATTAGGAACAAATCTTGCCTAGAAATTAATAAGAAGCCAATGCTTAGTTCTTAATTTCCCTTAGAAAAATCTGGGTGAGTTGAGAAGGCTTTCAAAAGTCAGTTTCAGTGTGACTTGATTCCTAAACCACTCATTGCCTTACTTTTATGAAAATACCAAACAAAAAAAAGTTCTTCCTATAAAACTGTGCCTGCAGATTTTCTTGCAGATTTGTTTGTATGTATATCCACATCTGGATATAATTGGATGCTTCTCTTCCTGATTATCAAATGCAGGTGTTCTGTGTCTGTAGATACCATCATTTTTACCTATTTGTGACTTACAGTTTGTTGGTTACAAAACTAAAAGATATTAATGAATTGGCCTTTGTTACCTACAACTGAGTTTTCTCTTCAGATTTAGCACTACTCTAGCTGTAGACATAGAATAAAGAACTTGTCTATAATCTCTATTAGAATCTCTGTGACAATATTCAACTTTTTAATGTTGCTAGTAAAAGTATTCAGGACTTGCAACTGAGAATAGCATGTGGCTTTTCAGTGTGGGAAAGGACTGAAATATGTACTTTTTTTTTAATGATTCTCATGGATGCATTGCTGTGCTACTTTTCTGCGCAGAACACAGCTTTGCACCTGGCTGCAAGAGAAGGACATGCAAAAGCAGTAAGGTTACTTCTTGACTATGGTGCGAAAATTCTGTTCAACAAAGCAATAGCTTCTTTTTTCCATGAAGCAATACACAATAGGAGAAAAGATGTAGTGTCTGCTGTCATATTGCACAAAAGGTGAGGTACACAGAAAATGCTTTCTGAATTTATTTTCCATTGTGTTTTGTTTTGTTTTTTAACTGAGATTAAGTTCTGAAAACCTGTAGTTTAATAAGTAAGACTGAGTACATATTTTAAAATTCCAGAAATTATATTGTGCTCTAGTGAGAGCAAATAAAAAATGGCATAATTGTAATGGACGTCAGATGTGTGGCATGTTGTTTTCCATATTAGATTAGATTAGTATTCAGATTCTGTTAAAAAAAAAACACATAGAAGCCATTAGAAATAAGTAATCCTTCCCATGTCTCCCCTCTTCTTACATACATAATTTTGGCCTTTCACATAGTGCTTCAATACCTACAGAATTTTAATCAAAATGTGAGTACAACTGGTAACATTCAAGAGATTTAATATAAAATTGTTGTTTTAAATGTTGCAAATATTTAAAAATGTGGCAGTTCAACTGCAGCTTAGAATATTTTATATTACAATATAGTGAAGCCCCACTTCAGGAATAAAGGTATTGCACCATTGCCTAATGATCACATCTCTTGGTAAGAGTTGCAGGAACACTGCCAGTATTTTACTGCATTTATTATTACTCACCTAATCGTGTAACCCAAGATTCCAGCTTTAGTTCAAGTTTCATATTTTTTAGAAGGTCTTAGCATAGTTGAAACATTTCTGTTTAATTGATAACAGAATTAAACATGAATCATTCTTAGAGAAGCATCCAGAATGTTACTCAATTACTACCCAAACAGCTGATTTTTCCAATTGATGGTATGTAAACTTGTTACATATTGTGATTTACAAGGTAAGATCTTAAATAAAACTCAAATAATCTAAAACTAGTTAATTTAAAAGAGAAACAACTTACTCATTTTCCATAATCTCAACTCATTTTTGCAGATGGGAAGAAGCTGTTGTGACATTCTCTCACTATTCTAGTGCCAATAAGTGTCCTTTGCTGGAAATGGTTGAGTATCTTCCTGATTCATTTAAAGTAAGTTTTCTGCACATATTAAAGAAATGACTGCACAAAAAAACCTTAGTTATGTTGCATCATTTGCCATTGTTTTTCTAATGCTGTCCTCACTAATACGTATTATTATAAAATAGAAATGATACAAATTCACAAATTGATTTAATTGTATTTTAGTGATAGTTTCAGTTCGGCCAGTTTAGTTTCTTTAGTATTAGAAAAAGTTCTTAGCTTCCTGAGGTCAATGAAGTTATAAGAGTATAAAAGTAGTATAAAAAGGAGTATAAAAGTGATGAAAGTCAGAAGAGAATTAGGTTCAAAACCATTTGAGGTATTTTCACCTTCTGAGCTAACTGTTAAATGACGCTACAGAAATGCTTTTTATTAAAATAGCACGTGACTTGGAATGTATATATTCATAAACACTTCACATTTTATACTTGTAAACTAGCATGTAGCCTTGTAAACGGCATAGTTTCGTTATTTAACTCCTACATGTGAACTCTGGAGTTTTATGTCCTCAAAACATACACCATAAAATCTGACTGAATCATCACTTACGTTAGATGACTGCTGTATTTGAAGGTCATTTTCTTCAGGTACAAACATTATATTCTTTCTGATGAACGTTATCTATATCACCTTAATTTACTTTTCTGTTCATCTGCAAAGCTGGTTTTGGACAACTGCATAATTGAGTCTTCAGAGGAAAAGACAAGTCGAGACTTCTATGTAAGTGGATGAAAAAGTTTATGAAGACAGTACATTTTACGGTCTTAGGATGGAATATGTCACAATGTGCCTGGCTATATGTTAGCAGCGGTACATTATTTGGATAATGATTAAGTTAGAAAATCATCAGCGTGGCTTTTAGGTACTGATATTGGACTAAATTCTAATACCTCTTAAATATTTTCTGTAGTTACAATTACAGTTCTATAGTTGGTAAATTGAAATCAGCCAATATTTTAACTTGATTTATGAATAATTCAGTAATTATTTATCAATAACTGTATTTGAATCTGTGCTTTTAATACATATTTGGCAAAAAACTCCTCAGTATTAGGATAACTTAAAAATCACTTATCAGATACTAGCAATCTTCAACTATTAGTCTCTTCTTTTTTTTCTCAGCAAAGCCACTGATTTAATTCTCTTTATTGCCTTTGTGACACTGAAGTTAACACTTTTTTGACTTGAAGGTTTGGGAAGTACACAATATGTATACTTTAATGTATGTCAAGTTCATATGTATAAGATGAATATCACATCTTAACAGAAAACACAGGTGACTGATCTTACTTTATCCTTTGGGCTGTAAACGGCTTTGAAGTTCAGTTTCTGTAATCTTCATGCTTATGCATTTTAACAAGTATAACATTAAACCTTAGCAACCTATAGACTTTATTTCTGCTGTATTAATTCTTGCAATCAAGCTGGGTATCGGAGGTTATGGATATTTCAAAATAACAGTGATAGAAGATGTAATATTTATTTACGTATATCAAAAGCATGCCTATCGTAAGTACTGCAATTGTGATCAATAATTCAGAGTCCAATGTGTTTCTCTTTTGTAAATCCTTGTCCAAAATATTAAGCAGTAGATTGCTTTCACAATGCTAAGGAGGCATGAATGTTCTACAGGTATGTTACCTTTGAAACCATATTGAAAACCACCTTATCAATTATTGCATGGGGAATGGTTTTAAACTAAAAGAGGGTACATTTAGATTAGATATAAGGAAGAAATTTTTTACAGTGAGGGTGGTGAAACACTGGAACAAGTTGCCTAGAACAGTGGTAGATGCCCCATCCCTGGAAACATTCAAGGTCAGGTTGGACGGGGCTCTGAGCAACCTGATCTAGTTGAAGATGTCCCTGCCCACGGCAGGGGGGTTCGACTAGATGACCTTTAAAGGTCCCTTCCAAACTAAACTATTCTATGATTCTATACACTGGATTGTGTCTACATCATTAACGGAAAACTTGCAAATTTTCTGCTACTGTACATTTTCTTTAAATTGTGTTATCAAAGCCATATAACTTTTAAATACAAGATTTTCTTCAAAGTCAACATTAAAACAAATTACAGTTACGAGAATGACCTTTTTAAACTGTAATATTTTAAGAAGAAATGCATACATTTTATTTTACAATTCAAAATGGCTGTTTGTTTAATCATCTTACAGTCACAGATACGTATCTTGATGGCCTGTGTTCTCTGGCAGAGTAACTAACAATCAGTATACATCAGTGTTCTAATTACTTTGACACAATATGCCTTTTTTTTCTTTAAAGAGTAACCTTTTTTAAATTAAGCATATTATCTCAGTCTTATGTTATCAGTTTCATCACATTTAAATGCTGGTGTATGTTTATTATTCAGATTGAATATAACTTCAGATATCTTCAGTGTCCCCTGACACTCAACAAGAAACTAAAGGATGGTGAAGACATTTTCTATGAACCACTTACCACTTTAAATGTAAGTTCTTTATTTTACTCTGACATCATTCCATGCTGTATTGCTTTAGATAAAATCAAGAGGTTTGAATTTTTCATCATAATATTTCTTTTCCAAAGCCCATAACTCTGTATATTTAAAGTATATTGGGATGAACTATGGGTCAAAGTTCTTATAGTCTAAGTAATAAATAACATTTCTTTTAGGTTTAGATAAAAATTCTTAATTTAAACAACTATGAATGTTTCAAGAGAACATACTGTACATGCAGGTAATACATTAAAGAAAACCATACTCCAGTCATTCTAGTGACCATGCACTGGAATGTAAGGCATTGAAAAAACTGACAAAACTGATTTTTTCATATGCTAATTGCAAAATACTTTCTGTGCCTAAAACAAATTTTTGCTGTTCTTTCATATTGCCAGTCTGTTTTCTCATTCTTTGTCAGAAAATGTTTACAGAACAAACTTCCTGGCTTAATTTGATTACTTTTTGGGCTTCCTGTTGGCAATTAGACTCGGTATACTGTCTAATAATAAATAAATAAGTATTTTCTTGTTAAATGTAACTAGAAAAGCTTGGTCATCTCACAGGTATAGCTGGAAATAGTCTGTACAATTTTTTTAAAGCTTGAAATAGAGCAGCAGGAGAGAAGCTGGATGCCTCAGTAGGCAGAGAAGGCAAGATAGTAATAGCTTTGAGCCAGAGTACATAAACAAAAGAACTTTGCAATATCTTACAGACATTTTACTTTTCATTAGGCTAATATTCAAGTAAAGAAGGTGGGCTAGCCAGTTTTTTAAGCACTTAACTTAGCTAGATGAGATAAGTTTGATCCTTCTGCTTTCTTGTTTTGTAGGCCATGGTACGCCACAATCGCATGGAGCTACTCAGTCATCCTGTGTGTAAAGAATATTTGCTTATGAAATGGTAGGTGTATTTTAATGTACCTAAAATATAATATTGCGTGTCAGGATGAAGGCTATTGTGCCTAAGAGTTGTTTACTAAGATATGTAAGTTGTACACATTTATAGTGTTGACTGAAGCAAATGTCTTTTCGATATAACTTTTCACAAGCGTATTTAGAATATGCTGATGATTATCATATAAAATGTAGCTTAGCATTTAGTAATGATTCTTTGATATTTACTGCGAAGACAACCACTATCTTTGTTTGCACTGTATTGCAAAAATATATAATAGGATTGCCGAGTTAAAAAGAAAAGGAACAGTATTTCAGAATGGCCAATCCACATAAAGCTCGATGAACACATTCATCACAAAAGGATGTTTTAAGAAATGTTTATTGCCTCATCTTGAAAACATTGTTGGCTGTTACGTTTGAATGCATGCTCTTCTAAATTTGTAAAATGTTGTAACTTTAACATTCTTACTTTCAAGGATGGCCTATGGGTTTCGAGCACATCTGATGAATTTAGGCATATATTCTCTTGGTCTCATCCCACTGACTCTTCTGGTCACTCACATACAGCCAGGAAGACCTTTGAATGGAACAGAGATCTATGAAGCAAGACCATTAGAATATGAGGTACTAAGTTTTCTTACTAGTTACAATATGTTCATGATTTTTATAGCAATAAGGTATGATTATTTAAATAATTTCTAGAATTATTTATGATTTAGCAACTCTAAGGAATAGAATTGAAGTGTATATTTTTAAACATTCAGCAACAACTTGTGTAGATAATTTTCAGTTCTCATTTCTTCTTTTTTAATCTTTTCTGAAAATTTTACATCTGGTGCATGGTTACTTCAGTTTCTTCCCTGCAGTGAATATTTCTGTAATGTTGAAGAAAAAAGATGAATGTGTATTTAATGATGAAAAGACAGAAAACAGAGGATTCTTTGGTTTTCTATGTCCTTTTAATTTTCAACCAAAATAACTGGATATTGCACATTTAAAATTTGACATAGAAAGAGTAGTCAATAATAAAGTGCTTTTGGGTATTCAAATACATCTTTCTTTGCCCATATTATGTATTACTTTCCCTTGCAGGCCCAGTATTTCTTCACTAGGCTCATAAACTATGAGGCTAAGACAGAACAATTTTTGCCAGTCTATATATAGATACCTCATGTACAACAGTAGTGAAAAACATAACAGCAGAATTCAGTCATATATGGATGGAAAACTCTGTGAAAGATTTTTAAGTGTATTGGATGTTTCCTATAATCTCTGTTAATAAACTTAAAAGAAAAAAATAGAAAAAATTGTGTTGTGCTAAAATGTGAATGATATACCCCCATTTTGGAATTATGATATCTCAAAATGAAAAACTTGATTAGGTAGCAACGTACATGTGCATCGTGGTGACTTTTGAATGTTTGTCTCTCAGTCACAGCTGTGATAGATGTGGGGCTACTCTAGTAACTTACGAATATTGTTCTCGTTTATGATATGCATTGGATGGAAATGATGCTTTAGTTGGGTCCATAAGGAAAGCAAGCAAGGATGAACCCTGTCTCAGGATAAGCCTGTCCTCCGTAGATACTTCGAGGTTGTTAAGAGACAAAGCTCAAACTTTTTTTCAGAAGCTGGAACTGGAATAATTAGGACACCATAGTGAACCGAAGAAGTTAGACTTGCCAGGTCCACCACTACAGGAGAATGAGGCTTTAGAAAAGACAGACATTGGTGCAACTGCTTGATGTCCTTTTTGTAAGTGTTTTCTTCCTGCAGTTAAACTAAGCAGTGTTCTGTCTTTTAAGAAGGCTGTGTTGTCCCTAAGCTGAACATTGTATTAGACTTCCAGAGAAGTAACTGCAAGTTCTGCTGTTTATTGAACCTGTGAGTACAACTCATACATAGTATTACACTCCTGTGTCCACGTGAAAGGCAGGAAAGTCACAGAGCTCTGTCTCCACGACATGAAGTCATATATTCTGAGAAGAGACGCCTGTGTCATTAGCCCTGAAGTGGTAACATACTGGTGTTAATGGAGACAAGTTTTTGTTGTGTGGCGAACCTTTCAAATGATCCATTTCAAATAAGTGATTTTATCAGTATAACCAAGGATTTTGGCAAGGAAAAAAAAAAGGCAAGAAAATATTTTACAGTTCTTTTGAGAGAGAAAAGACATAAAACTGAAATAGAAACTCCAAAAGTAGAAATATGAAATAAAATAAACTCAAGGTATTTAAAAGGTTCATAAGGATATCCTGATATATGAAAAAATCTGGAGAATCACATACTCAGCTCAGCCCAGTACGTGTGGGATTCACAAAGATTCAGAAGCCAGAACTAGCAGAACGGGAAGAATTCATGCTCTACTAACTAATCTTCCTGGTGGAAGACAGGAGAATGACAGGAGCTGCGTATGGCAGACAGAGGAATGACTCAGACTGACCCAGGTCCTTGAATCATCAGAGACTGGGTGGAAGAAGCATAGTTGGAAGAGGGAGTCCTGTCCTTCAGTGAGGAATGATGCCAGCTGGTGGAGAAGCAGTGCACAGAACAGGAGCCGTGAAGGTGCTGCCTGAGAGACTAGAGCAACAGCAGGATATATGAAATGTCATGCACTGGAGGAAACAGTGTCCTAATGACCCAATAATGGGAATGGAGTGGGGAATGCCAGCTCTGAGGGAGCACAGTGTTACAGAACATGGCGCTATACTCTTAACCCAGTTTAAAGAGGGACATCACAATGGGGCAGATGCTGATGTGTATTGCAGCACCACTGAAAAGTGAGTGCCATGAATTTGTGGTCTGCCTATGAGTTAATGAAGGCCTCAGGTGGGGAATTAGCTCTACAAGTTGAAAGATGAAATTCACTAGTGTTATCTATGCCAATAGAAGGCTTTTCACAACAAAGTTGTCTTTGCCTATATTGCTTGTAAAGGGAGACATCAAAGGGAGCAGCTACATAAGGATGCCAGGACTTCCAATTTGTCCAAAGACTTCTATTGCCATTCCGGATACTGCAATATGATAGTGAAGTCATGGACAACAGAATTTGTCTTTATCTTCATCCAGTGGCAAAACATACTGAAAACGTGGCATAAATACTGCCATTTCAGTTCCCAAACTCAAATAGTAGCAATAAGGAAGCTGCACAGCAACTGTTTATCATCAGAATGCTCAAACTTTCATACTTGGTTTGAATTACTTAAACACAATATACATGACATGGATTTCACAATAAATATTAGTAAACCATAATTTAGATAGTAATAAGTTTATTTGAAGCATGCTAACAGTTTCTTAACTTGGCAATATAACGTATATGTAGTAGGTAGAGGTGAAATAAATGTTCATTTAATAATTTCTAATTTGTTTTGTGCTCTGATTTTTGTTTCAGAACTCATACTTCACAAGGGTGTGTATGTGTTTAGTTTTAATTATGAGTTTACTGGGAATCTGCAAAGAAATATTTCAGCTCATTCAGCAGGTAAGTACATAGAGAAATAACATTAATCAGACAGTATGCTTGCAATAGCAGTTTGTGTGATATTGAAATAAATCTGATTTTTCCCTAATTAAAAGGGAAATGCCAATTTATATAAGATTAAAAGTGAGTGGAGGATTTAATTAGTGTATTGAATTCAGTCCTTCAATGATGCGTGACTTGTAAGTATGTATTTGTCTCTCTTAAATCCTAGAAATTGAAATATTTGTTGGATTACTCCAATCTACTGGACTGGACAATTTATACTACAAGCATAATTTTTGTGTCTTCTTTATTTATTAATACACCAGCTCATTTGCAGTGGGAATGTGGAGCAATTGCTGTATACTTGTCTTGGATGAACTTCTTGCTTTACCTTCAACGGTAAAAGTTATTTACATGCTTTACAATAAAATACTTTTAATATTTTCAAATATTTTATATATGCTAAACCATGACTGATCAAGTGTGATAGCCCTATTTTTTTTTTTTTTTTTTTTTTTCAAGCTACACAAGTTTCCAGATTAGGACCATAGGAATTTTTTAACCTAATGAACTGTAAAGTAGTTTTCAGTGGTTTTCACGTAGAGAATCACAGCATGTGTTATGGCAACTAAAGAAAGAACAAAATTTATTTTAATGTTAAGTATGCAAAGGCACCGCATATGTCTTTTTAAAAACATGTTTCATTATGCTGTATAGACTTTCACTTAAAAAAAGAAAAAAAAGGATATGAATTACAAGAGGCAAAAGGAAGTCTGTTTTTATAAGTAATACTTGGGAGAAGATAAATTATTTTATCATCTTACAGATTAAATGGCACACCCCACTTTTCTACACCATAGTGACCTGTAAAAGAATTATAATGGATGAAATTATTTCTTTAGTTGACATTAGGTCTATTATTGCCATTAATGATCTTAATGCAGTCACTGGTACAATAGCGTCCAAGAGTTATGGACTGCAGGAGAGCTGGGTGGAGGGAAAAATAGTGTGCGTGTAGTGCTTAAGACTAATAAATTAAACATGTTTGTGCCTGACCAGGACTGCTTTGCACAAAGATGAGGTGCGGCTGATCAGCAAAAAAGTGGTGATTTGGAGCTATTCAGGAAATGATGACAGTATGTGATAACACTGCTTATATGCTCTTCTGATTCTTACTGTATATATGCACTAATCACCCCCATGAGGTCTGGCAGACAGAAAAACACGGCATTTGCTGATTAATTTCAGGATCATTTTACTGTAGTTGGGATGTTTTAAGGACAAGGTTTGTAAACAGAGTTAATGTCATGAAGAGAGAGTATCTTTATGGTAGGGCCTCTGCGGGCAAACCTTGTGCTACATGTGTCTGACCTTAGATGACTAATGAACGGGTGTGTCCTGTCTGCTGTGTTCTGTGGGCAAAATGGGAGTTGAACCTAAACAGTAAAAAGTAAATTCATGATTGCCCAACCTTCCTTCTCGTGCTAGATGAAATGCTTCCCTGGCCTGAATATTTTTCATTTGTATAGCAGTAGACCTCTACACATCATTTTTTTAACTCATTCAGGCCGTCTCTTCGCAAAGCAACCTGTAGCTCCATTGACTTCAATGGAGTTTTGCCTAATAAATGCCTAATAAAAAGAAGATCAGGTTTGCTTTACTTCCAGCTTGACCTTTTCAGCCTTGCACATAATATTTCAGGGGGGAAATCCTGTGGAGGGATTTTCCCAGTTGCTACTATTGTCGCATAGAACAGTCATCTGGTCCTGGAATCTGGCAGGGGACATAAGTTCCCAGGTTCAGGTTTGGGAGGAAAAGTAGCTTAATCTGCTTTATGACAACTCATGTTCTGAGATCTAGTTTTTGTTTAAGCCAAGAGCAGGAGAGGTTTGCCAGATGACAGACTGTTGTTGGAAACACAGGTGTCTGAAAATTGTGCTACTCCCCTTCTCTTCCTGAGCAGTGCGTTTCTTTTTGTTTGCTTGTTTTCCATACTTCGTAGTGTCATAAAAAGCAAAATCTTTTTAAATCAGGCATGTGGCTGCTAGATGCATCATGGTATCAGTTGTCCTTTGTTCTGGTTGCTAATTTGCTTCAAAAAGCAGCAAAAAATGAGAATTTCCTAATGTTATTACTCCGAGTGTAACAGTTGTACAATATTGTACTGTATGTGGCTATGGAGAGAGTAAAAATTGTCCATGAAAAATCATATCTTGAAGAAGTATGGCTCTAGCGCATTAAAATGTAAGATTATGTAGTTTAGGCTTGCTGTAAATAAGACCACTTGCATTCTTTTGGATGTGAAGGTACAACATGTCCATACCATCTCAGAGAGGCAAAATGTCTCTTTTCACACATGAAAATCAGGATCACTTGTTGCCTGACGTAAATAACTGTAACGGACTCTAACTTCAGTATTTAATTTTGCATATCTTTTCTGTTTACTTATCGCCTAGATTTGAAAACTATGGCATCTATGTTGTGATGTTCTGGGAAATTTTGAGGACTTTGATTCGGATTGCTGTCGTTTTCTTTTTCCTGATATTGGCCTTTGGACTGAGTTTCTTTGTCCTGTTGGGTTCACAGGTTAGTTGAATGGCATAGTTAATTTTTCTCATTATAAATACTAAAGAATCTCAAGAGGTTATTTCATCGGTTCCGGTTTTTTCTTGATTTTGGTATTTATTCCTTTTGCAGCAAACTTATAGCACACCTCTGCTTTCTGTAATGAAGACATTTGCAATGATGCTGGGAGACATTAATTACCATGATGCATTCCTTGATCCACTACTAAGCAGTGAATTGCCATATCCATTCCTGAGTTACACAGTTCTCATTATATTTACCTTGCTTATTCCAATCCTTCTTATGAACTTGCTAGTAAGTAAACTACTTAGTAAAATACAAAAGGGGTTAAGCACAGGTTTATACATGGTTTTAGCATATAGAATTACTTTAGTGCTGATTTGTGTCTTTCAGTCATTATTTAACAAGTTGATATTTTCAATAACGTATTAAAAAGTTGCCTTTCCCTGAACTCATTTTCCCTCCAGTTTACTGTTCTGAGTATTTTCCCACAGTTAACTCTTGCAGGGTTATCTTGTATATCTTTAGGTAGTAACTGTGATGGAATTTGAATTGGAGCTGCAATGTATTATTATCAAGTGTTGATAAAGAAAATTGGGGAACAATTATTTTAAGAAGTACTTTGATAAATGCATGCCTCCTAGACTAGACATAGTCTTAATGGTTCAACCCCATGCTGTATCATAAGCTAGCGCTAACGATATTTTTTTTTAAAAAAGCTAAAACCCTAGATCTTCATTGCACACAAAACAGCAGTCAACAGTAGTGTTAAAACTAACTAATGAGCCTAACCTGAACAAAAAGAATCGGAAAACCTGGTAATGGTGAGAAAGGGGGAAAATATGTAACACATCTTCAGCCATGTTCCATTGAACATCAATTTTTTGGGGGAAATCAGGTTTTTATATGAGCTGAGCAATAAAAATCAAACAATTCAGGTTTTTTAAGTTATTTAGTGCTGCCGTTATCCTGTTCAATCAAGAAGTCAACAAATTTTTTAACGTAACAGCGGTAATGAAGAATCAAAAAGAAGGGATGTTATTCTTGACAAATCTTTGAAATAGCTCTTTAGTGCCTTACTGGTAGACAGATAGTTGGCATTAAAAAAGCTTACTACATTTCTTGATATGGATTTTCCAAATATGCACAAAAGGTGTATGTTTCCAAATTCAAGTGGAACAAAATAAATTCAACTTCAGAGTAATTTTGGATTTAAATGTGAATAAGAAATACAATTGAAATCACAGACTATGAAAGAATAGATAATGAAGTCTTTCCTGGTTTTTTTTAGATTGGCTTGGCTGTTGGGGACATAGCTGAAGTACAAAAATATGCTGCACTCAAAAGGATCGCAATGCAGGTAAGTAGCATACCGTAGAAGCACCAACTATAGGAAGTAGGTATCATTGTAAGAACACCATTCAGATAATTAGCTGATTGATCATCAACATCCCTAACTAACATCTTAGCATCTCTGTAAAGCAACTTGGTGAACATGGGCATCCTATTCTGAATCTCATTTTCAGTCGTGTGAGTCATTGTCAAGGAAATGTATAAGCAAATGCATTTTTAAGGAACTTTTGAACAGTCAGTTCGGTGAATTCGGAGTTATTCCAACAAGAGAATCTCAAAATGAGTAAATGCAATGTTTGAAATGGGAGAGTTGCCTTTTAAGGAGAGAATTGATGCAGTGGAAAGTGGTATGTAATACCACGTATAATGTGGAAATTAATGTCACATTTCTAAATGTTTTTAGTTACCTTAAGATGTATAAAGACACCTAACAGAATTTCTGTTGAATTCAGAAGAGTTTAGTAACTTATATGCTTTTGAAAACTATATGCATCTTAGATATTTTCAAAGTAGCTTTTGCAAACATAGTCCTTACGGCTTACATACTGGGACTAGGGCAATAGTACAACTTCATAAAATTTTCATTTTAAGAAATGATAAATTTGGCATACAGTTTTCAAAAGCTTTTTTTCCTTGTGAACTGTATGTTAAGCTTGACTTTCACAAGTGGAAATACACACAGTATACACCTGTCAAATAAAGCATAAAGATAACTTCTCACTAACATGTTCTTAGAAACTGTCTGTCCACATGCTTCCTTGACGTTCTGCTCAAAGTCTGTATTGTGAGAGGAACTGACCATTCATAAAATTGATGCAGGGAGTGGCTTTGCCTATGTTCCCTGCTGGCTCTGCTTTTTCTAAAAGGTTTCAGAGCCTACCTAGTGGCTAAGCATAGAGAAGAGAGGTGTGCACAGACAGAATGCCCAAGAACAAGAACAGCTCAGAAATAACTTCTGGTAGTCACGTAACTTTAAATTGTGTACTGTACTTGCTTGCTTCAAGCCTATTTGAAGAATTTGTTTTTAGAGTAACATTTCCTCCCAAAAGATATTTCTTTTGCTAGAGATACAAATGACTAAAGCAGAGGTATAAGGGCAGTTCTTGTAGCAGTTAATGCTTTTCACCTATTTAGGTATTTCTTTGCCAACATAATGCTCAGGAAGGACGGTGTCTTGCAACTTCAGACAGTACTATGAAATCTTTATTAAGCATGTCACCTTCTGTATGTTTGACAGGATTATGGATGTCTGCAGTAGGCTTATACTGTACATCTTGTTCTTTTAGATATGTATGCTCAGTATTTCTGTAGCAATTTGAGGATGACTGGAAAGGTAGCATCACCTGAAAAGGCACTGATATATAATATACTTGTTTCTACCCAAGGGAAAACTCTTTTTCTCACAGGCATTCCACTGGCATCTTAGTCTATACTGACTCTGTCATAATCTAGTAAAAGGATATAGCACAATTAAAGAGAGAAGGATCACTCTCTTTCCCATTATTATTTGGTCTTAAAACCCATGGCTATGATAGGTATTCTGTCTTTTGAACATTTCTGCCATGTGATTCTGTACTGCAACCTGCAATGTACTAAGGAGCTATTCAAGCCATCACACAAAAGCTAACTCAGTTTTGGAGTCATTTTAGTTATAAGAGTGCGCATCTATGTAGAATAATTGATTCTGCTAAGATACTTAATACTGCTATGACTAGATGGTTTTAGTGTTTGGGCTGGACTGTTCAAATATTGTACTATTGTTTACAGCGTAGATATCCGCTGAGACCTGACATCTAGTAGTAGTGGTTTGAATAGAATGACATGATGGTTATTTTCACATGATAATGTGTCTTTATCTTAAAAGAATATATCTTATTCTAAATGCAAAACTACGTTTAGGTTAATCTTCACACCAACTTAGAGAAGAAGCTACCATTTTGGTTCTTAAGTCGGGTGGACCAGGAATCAATCACTGTATATCCCAACAGGCCAAGATATTGTGGATTTATGGTAAGATGGTGAATCTTAGACTAAGGAATTCTTAAAATGTGACATGATCAACTTACTTTGTACACAGATTGCTAGGAATATTGTATTAATAAGACTCAATCATTAACTGACATCAGTGGAATCATGATTAGGCCTTGACTATCTTCAGTGAAAATAATAAATCAGTTTGAGTGCAGCCTAATTTATTCCGATATAGCTAGTGTTTGAAATCTCAGTGATCTGTGAGTTTACTAAGCGAGACAAGCTACAAAAGTTATTCATACAGAAAATAGAATTGCTCCCTTTTGGCATTTCTTCTTTTATTTGTTTATTTTTCATTTCAGCTGTTGTTGGTAGACTGAATTTTCTGATTAAACAAATTTTGCAAAACAAATGTTTAATATACGAAAAATAACTTCATAACAGAAAGTCTTTTCAACTTTAACACTATGTGGAGACTGTTACCATTCACTTGTTTGGGATTTTCAATCTATTGTCAGACTATAATACCTGATTTCATTTTGGTTCCATGTTTTGTTTAGAGCGTGTTCCAGTATTGCTTTGGGTGTGAGGACTCTACCACAGATGCACAGAGCACCGATACAACATTAGAACTGGAAGTTCTGAAGCAGAAATACAGGTATTCATTGTGTTATTCTACTGCTGTAAAAATAAGTAGAACCAATATTGCATATATACTCCTATTTAAAAAAGTGTTCTAAAGCTCCATACGATATCTAAAAAGTAAAATTCAATGTATCTAGTGTCCTTAAGTAAGCTGCCTCACTATGGTAACTTAGCATTTTATATTCTGTAATGTATTTACCTTCAAAATACTTGTGTGGTAGAGAAATATTTTTATGCCATGGCAGAGAAAGAGGACAGGCTTGTTTGCTCATTAAAGTAAACTGAAGTAATGGGGAAAATGCATTTTCATTGCAGAATTAGAGGTTTGTGTATGGAGGTTTTCAAGGGTTATTTTAAACTCACAATTGATGTAATTCCAATTGGTTTGCAAATACACACAATCTGTAACTGACTTTCCACTGATCCGATGGTAAATTTGCTTCAGATTGTTTCCCCAAAAACAGATTGGTGCCCTGGTTCTCCTTTGAACAAATCATCTGTTTCCCAAAGCCTTGGAAGGAATTCTCTGTACTTACTTTTCTTATTCATCTTACCAATATATCCGTAAGAATGGTTTCAGAAAAGCCTTCTGTGAATGTACAGCTGGGAAAATCTATTCTTTCTCACTCTGTCTCACTCTCCCCTGCTCTTTTTTTCTCTGTTTTTTTCCTTTCCCCCCTTTTTTTTTTTGATCTACTAAATTTTTGTCTCCCTGCACAGATTCTGATTAAGTATTTTTTGGCATGAAGGACTCAGCAAGAGTTGAAGGGGTGAGAATACACCCTACAGATGTAGGCAAACCATGGAATTTAACAAGTCTTTCTTCAAATCCATACTACATCAATATATTAGGAACCAGCATAGAACATACTCTTTTTTTTCTCCCTACAGAGAAGGAAGAAACTATCATTTTATAAAATTATAAAATTATTTGCAATAGAATAACTTGTGACCATGTCAGTATGGAAAGTTATATTTACTGCTCTGAAAATACTGGCTGAAAACTTTGTTTTACTATGTTGCCAGTATGTTTTTATTGTCAGAGTTCAAAACAGAGTTCAGTTCCTACTGAAGCTAGTGGCAATCAGTGCTGAGTGCATATATGTGTTTTTGATTTGGGGTGGGGTTTTTTTTGCTTTGTATTAATGTTAGCCAATTGCTGCGCTGTTTTAATTCTTGGGGAAAAAAAGGCAACTACATCTAAAGAAGCCCCAAACCGTTCTTCACAGAGAACCTTTTCAATCACAATATATATTTAATGCTGTCATTTTCTGAGTCTAGACATTCTGAAAAGTGTATTTTCAAAAAGCCTGTTTGGTAGTTTTATGAAGACAGTTTCTAGACACGTTTCCCATTTCTTTCATTGTTTCTTAAAAGATAACAGATACTGTGTTCTGTATGTGTGATGCTAATGGATGTTAACTCTTTATTTGTATCAATTGCACTTTGGATAGCACTTTAAAAGAGACCAGTAACTCTCATATGCTGTTAAAGTAGCTGTAAAGTTCACTAAATATTTGTGGATGCTTAATTGCCATTGCAAATCTGGCCCTTTTTTCTTACCAGACTACTTCAGTCAATAGGAAAAACTTTTGATAGAACTGTTCAGAATTTTATTTTGAGAGTGCTATTGCTCTTACCTTAAGTATATAGTAAGTTACTTTTCTCAAGAACCAGGAATTTGTTCTTTAATCCTATTTCCTGAAACCTGGAGAAGTACCACAGCTTGAAAAATTAAGTGTACTCCAGATAATATTCTTTGTTAGCAGAAGGGTGAAGTTGAGAACCGCCAGGTCTTTCACATCTGTAATTTTAATGACTAAAATGTCCTTTGAAACCAAATGACAAAGCCTGCTGTATGCATATTTTTTTCTTTTTTGTTTTTTTTTAGGCTCAAAGATATATCAACACTGTTGGAAAAGCAACATGACCTCATTAAATTGATTATCCAAAAAATGGACATAGTGTCAGAAGCTGAGGATGAAGACAGCAATGATTTATTTCAGCACAAGTTTAGGAAAAGGCAGTTAGAGCACAAGAATAGTAAATGGGATACAGTGTTAAAAGCTGTTAAAACAAATGTGCCTAACCCAAGCACACAAAAGAACAATAGCTTCTTCTAGACATGGCTATGATATCATGTTGTATTATCATTTTGTTTTAATTTAGGGTCACTTCTCTTATTGTCTGTGCATAATGTTAATGTGATACATCATGTATTCAAGTATAAAAAAAGGCCAGATCAAAAAAAAAGGATGCAGGTGCTCAAAACAGTATTGAAGGAGACTGAAGATGTCTACATCCACAACTGTGATCCTGAAAGTGGCTGGCTAATCAGGAAAGTGCCTAACTCACCAGATGCTGACCTTGCTGTCCTGACAGTTCCCAAGGCTTCTGTCTAGATCTGTTCCTGGATTTGGCCCTAATACTCTTAGGTCTTAATTACATTATTTTCTGTTACGAATATTTTCAGAATTTCTGAATTTTTAGAAATTCAAACTCTAATTATTTAGTATTCATATGTTTTGAGAGAGCAAATGGGCTTTATGTAGCTTAAGGAAAAAGTAGGAAACTAACCTGACAGATTACATTGGAAGCTTTGCTGAGTCAGGACTGCAGGATCAGGCCTGAAAGGTAAGAAGTAAAAAGATCACGAAAATGTAATGTAAGGAAGGACTGTTTTCTATTGTAGATAAATATATGCAGTTCTCAGAGGGATCATATGTACTAGCATGCATATAGCAATGATAGAATGACATGTTAAATATTAGTCATTTACAACTTGCCGTCCTTATACTGCATATGTGATTTTGGCCTTCCTGATAACCTAAAAACTGACCTTGCTACTTTAATCTGCACTTTGGTTTTATTATTTATTTACTGGATATTCAGTGCATTATGTAATATACAGTAATATATCAAATGTGGAAATAAACATGAATTAAACTGTGCTTAAGTACCCAAGTATATTCGTTTCAAAAACAGTGCTAATAAACTAATTATGACTATATGTGGTTGTAACGCTCTGTGGTCTGCTTTTGAATTCAGACATTTTCTTTAAGAACTTAATATATGTTAATTCTTCATGTAAAGAACAGATTCCTGTTTATTTAAAACATAGCCATCAGAAAGTAATTCACACTGTACAGAACTTGTCCAATTTCAGAAAACACAGGAGGATGCACTGTAAATTAGTGAGATTTGTGCCTTAAAATTGCCACGGATGACACGCTGTTCAGTAGGGAAAATGCTTTCTCACCCAACTGCTTTATCCCAGCTTTGAGATTTTAAATCCTTGCCTGGTAAAATAGAGAAAGGAGGAGGTTATCACTGGTTTTGGCTGTTCTGCTACACTTACTAAGGTGAATAGTTGCTTAATATCAAATGCTAGATGGCATCTGTAGAGATTCACGAAGCATTTGGAGTTTGTTTCTCTTCACTAGCAAGATTCATCGATACCTTTGAATCCTGTGGCATAAATCCAGCCAGTTGTAACTGAAGATGTTTGCTGTTAAAACTGAAGTTCTGTTCTGGGTTTGCCTCCCAGAATCTGTGTAGGCATTTTGCATTTAAGTGTGACTGTAATAGTTTAGTTAAGTAATAGTTTGAAGCAGAAAATAAGCACTTGGCTACTCCATTCAAACAGCAAATTGGGGGCATTGCTGTGTGACTATGTCCACAAATGTACTCCTGGGTGCCCCAGAGGCCCCATCCTTAAGTCTGTGGGTCACGTTCTAACTGTGCCGTTGAGATCTGGTGTGTACCATCATTCTCACATACCCAGCTGGAAAGAAATGCGGTGCGTAGATGGTGGAGCATAACAGCGTCTCCAGTTTTCTTTTGACAAGTAGAAGGCGAGGAACATGTGCTGCAAAGCACGCTGCACCCGCCTTGCAGGCTGCAGGAGGAGCAGCTGTGGCTTCTGCTTTAGGACAAGTCTGGTGTGACACAGTGAAATGGAGGGAGAACCAGTAAACAGAATCAGAATCAAGAAAGTAAAATTGAAGGTAACTGTAGTAATTGAAGTTGCATTGTGGCCTCTGAACTCAAATCTATTTCTATGAATAAGCTGTTTGGATTTTCTGAGCTACTGTGCAGCTCCCCCTGTCAGTGGAAACAGGAATTTCCAGGTTCTCAGGGTAAGGCCAAACTTGAAAAATGTAAATTTTTAATTCTTAAAGCCAGAAAAGTAATTTTAAGTTCCTGAGGATCTGCACCATTAACACTAGATGGCAGTGAGTGATAACATTTTTGAGTAAGTAAATTGGGCCTAAATGCATAGTTTTAAGTGAAGAGGAGCAGCAGTACAGTTACAGCAGAAGCAAAGTAGTCAGCATTTATAGTTTTAAAGTTTAAGCCTTTCAAGCCTCTTTAAACAGAAGTCTGAGACACTTATACACAGCAGCCTGTCAGGACAGGGGTTTAATCTTTTCTGAGCCTTTAACTTACAATTTGAGAAATGTTTTCCTTTTTTTTTTTCCTCAGATTTTCTTTCTTTCACTCATTTAGCAGCTGTCATTATGGTGGAA